AAAAAAAAAAAAAAAAAAAAGGAAGAAAATTAATTTTAATATAGTGTATTTAACCCAATATAAAATGGGGGAAAGCATGAACACAGTCCCTGACTACCTCAAACTGTGCAGTTGAATTTCCCACATTTGGGGAAATTTCAGGGGAGAGCACATCCAGAGTCCATTAGCCTCACTCTGGGAAAACCACCTTCATGATCATGATGGCTCCCCTGCCAGGTGAGTATGATGCATAAGTGTTCTTGACTGGCTAGCTCTCATTAATAATCTTCAAGTTGTCAAAGTCCATGAAGGTCAAATGATAGTCCTGAAAGATAAATGGTTTAAATAATCACTTAGAAATAGATTCCAAAGCATTGCAAATAGAAAGGAGATTGGATTAGGTACATAGAAAATGGTCTTTAGTTATTTTGGAACAATTTACTAAATCAACACATTTTATTTATTTTTTTAACTTTGAGATAGAGTTTCACTCTGTCACCCTGGCAGAGTGCTGTGGTGCCATCATAGCTCACAGTGAACTCAAACTCTTGGGCTCAAGAGAGTGCCCTGCCTCAGGCTCTCCAGTCATTGGGTTGTAGATGTCATTGTTGTTTGGCAGGCTTGGGCTGGATTCAAACCTGCCAGCTCTGGTGTACAGCTCTGGTGCCCGCTTGAGCTACAGGCACCGAGCCATGATTCCTGCTTCTTAGTATGGGTTATGCTTCTGTAATACTAAGCAAATAACAACTGTGACCTTTTGAGGTGTTGGGCCATGGTGAAGTTCAGGAAAACCCAGCGTACAGCATTTCCTGATGCTCTATCAACAAAATGATGTTTAGAGATTGCTACCAAACAAATGTTTAGCCTGGCTAAAACAGTGTCCTCACTGGCCAATCCAATCTTGAAGAACAGCTCATATATGCTCCTTACAAGTAAAAGGATGATCTCACATCTGGACATCCTGCAGCAAAGCACTTCTGTGTGGCCCCATGTGGCATAGATACAGCAGGAGCCCAGTCACTAATGAACTGTATGAGATTCAGCTTATGAGGCTGATGGAAACATTGTCATGTACTGAGAACTCAATTGTACAAAACTTGTACTACTACTTCCTCTGGAATAGTGGAGCTTGATTCTGATGACCACCACACCATCTGGTTTTGTGTATGGGTTCATCTGCTTTTTAGGACATCCTGAGTTCTTTCAGAGAGCGCCTATGCCTATTATAATCTTTGCATCTCGGATCCAAATAGTTTCTTCAGCATCAAAGAAGTCAGAGTCTTTTAGCAACTATTACAATCTTTTTACATTGTCTCCATGGATATAGCAATTGCTTGCTTTTATTAGAAGTCCATTTAGGAGGAAAAAAGCATCAGTCATCTTACTGAAGTTGTCCAGTAACAGTGTACATGGAATCCAGCTCTAGGTCACAGACAGTTCCTATGGGTTGCCTGGACAGGGTGCTATTAACAGAATACAGTGGAATTGTGTCACGTGAGAGGGCATTGGGAGAGCAGATAAGTGCACCTTACTGCTGTGTTTGCCAGATTTACAAATTACACCAAGCCTAAGGATTTCCTGCTGAGAAGAGGTGAGATAATAGAATGGGAATTGTCATTTTAGAAAAAAAAGGCAAGTTCCCATCTTAATGAATTATTGCTTCTAAAAGTACTTTAACATTGATTCTATGTGCAATAAAGTTGTGTGTACTGTGGAGCTTTTTCTTACACATAAAAAAGTGCTTTCTGCTACTTACACTGAAAATTCAGAATTCTTTTGGAATCTTGGTGGTATTCATTTCATATACATCAGGTAGAATTTGAATAATGAGCTGGTATACACAGAGGCTAAGAATGTACCTTTTTAATTTAATCCTTTCACTTGTATGGTCCTTCCTATAACTTCAATCAAGAGTAAAACAATCATCAGAATTGCTGAAGGTAAGTACAGGTTTGTTTCTAAGTACAAACTCCTGTTTTAAAAACTCTGGGAGTTATAAGGATCCAGTAACTAAGGTCAAGGAATTCAATTGCCTGAAACTTATTTCTAGGAAGTGTGGATTCTTGTAAAATAACCCCTCCATACCAGTTTTCTGGCTCTATCTGGAGTCATTGCAATTATACCAATGATCTTGTTCTTCATGTTATTCTAGAAGTAGAAAAGTAGCTGTAAGATGTCTAAATTGTGAATGAAGGAGCGGAATCATGTGCTGACTGACCCTTTAGTTCAAAGAGATACTTCCCGCTGTTCAATGCTCTTAGGTGTCTCAAATAAGAGACTGGAGAGTTAGAGGCTTATTCTTTTCTTCCTCCTTTGCTCAGACAGAACTAAATATGTGTTCACTGTGATTTTGTGCTGCTGCCATTACTATTTCCGATTTTTCTTTCTTACCTACCTCATTAGTCTTGAGACTGGGTTTGCAATGTGCATACTATTTCCTGGCTAAAGTAAAATATACATAAAACTCCATGATGTTGTAGAAAACAGTTTTGTTTTGTTTTTTAATTTTGTGGATCTGCTCTACTTTCCAGGCAGAGAGAAAAAAAGGTAGGAAGACTAGAATAAAGAGCTTGGAAAACAACTTCAAAATTTGGTATATGCTTTGGTATTTCATATAGTGAAATCTAATCTCCAATGTGAGAGTATTTGGATGTGAGCCTTTTTTAGAAGTAATTAGGCCATGAGGGCAGAGATGTCAAGAATTGGATTAATATCCTTAAAAAAGAGACTCCACAAAACTTCCCAGCTTCTTTCACTGTCTGAGAAAACACCTGTCTGTGCAGCAAGAAGAGAACTTTCACTAGACACAGAACCCGCAAGAGCTTTGATCTGGACTTTGTAGTCACCAGAGCTGTGAGAAATACATTTCTGCTGGTTATAAGGCAACTGGTTTATGGTATTTTGTTATAGTAGCCCAAACAGTCTAAGATGGTGTGTTAGAAATGTGATGTAGTGAGTGGGAGAGTGGCATGAGATGTAAGGAGGGGAGACAGCCTGGAGGCCAGGTTGTGAAGAGCACTGGAGCCCAGGGTAAAGATTAGTAATCATTTTTGTCTTTTGGAGAGACAGGGTCTGACTACGTTGCCCAGGCTCATCTCAAACCCCTGGGCTCAAGCAATACTACCACCTCTGCCTCCCAAATATGATTTCATTGACAAAAAAAGAGAAGATGTCATATGGGGATTTTAAGCAGGTGAGCAGAATGATTACATTTTAAGATGACCAGTGACTGTGTATGAAGATGAGAATACTAGTGGTTCTTTGGAGTTAGGAGGTTATTGTGCTCTTCTCGGTGAGAGATGATGATTGCCTTGAAATAGGAGTGATAACAAAAGTAGAAAAATGAATAGTCTCAATACATATTTCTTGGAAATAGAACTGATGGGGCTTGCCAACAGGTTGGGTGTGGGGGGAGGAACAAGGAGAAGGAAAGACAAAAGCTCAGTTCTGGATTTCTGGTGTTCAAGGAGGGCTTTTCATGGGTAGTAACATTTCACATAAATAAGATAATAGGAGTAGGGCGCTGGCCCCATATGCCAGAGGTGATGGGTTCAAACCCAGCCCCGGCCAAAAACTGCAAAAAAAAAAAAAGGTAATAGCTTATTAGTTGATTGGAAATATGCTTATTGTATAGTCATGAAAAAGTTTACAGAAAACATTTGTCTCTTTCCGCCACTTCCATTTTGAACTTTTTTTCCCCCTCTCATTCTGGGTTCTAAGTCTGAGAGACTGAGAGTTATTGAATAATGTTATTCACCACTCAAAAATGCCCAAATATTAACCTTTCAAAATGCTTTAGCATAAAAATTTTTATTTTCAAGTTTAAACCTCCCCTGTAGCTTTTCTCAGTCCTATCTCTCTTCTTTCTTTCCTCAATCCCTCCCCAGAGAAAGCCAGTATCGTTAAACTTTCCATGTAAACTTTTGATGTATCAGCACAGAAGCTTTGGAAGGACAGCTTTTGACCACTGCTATTTATCTTTGGTAACTATAACAGAGTAGGTGCTCAAATACTTGCTAAGTGAATGAATGTTCATCCACAACCCGTATATAACACACCTATAGTTACATTAAATATAGTCTGTGATACATAATGCTGTGAAAATATTTCTCCCCATCTGTGCAGCCAGATTAATATTTATAGAATGTGTTTTATAACAAAACCAGAAGATGGCAGTAGAGTAACATAAATCGGAACACTAGAGGCACTTCTGCTTTTGTCCTTCAATACACTTGCATTGACTGTTTCTCCAACCTTTTGTCTCTCAATTTATGCAAATACTTTATCATGCAAGTGGTCTGAGCACACATTTTCCTTAAAAAAAAAAAAAGAGAATGACAACAAAATCTCACACAGTATCAGAATTCTTTGGCCGTGTGCAAGAGAATGTGTGGGACATTTTCTCAGCCAGGCAAGTCTCATTTTTAGAAGTTCGTGAGATCACAGAAAAGGTGAAGACTTTCCAGAGAAATGGCCACTGCACAGAATAATCAAGAGCCTTACGTGTAATTATTTTCAGCTTTATTTCTGATGTATAATATAACACGGTGGTTAAGTACTTGGGCTTGCTGATAGTTTCGGGTTTCATTCTGATGTTTCCATTTATAGGTTCTATGATGGTGGGCAATGTTTTCTTTCTGACACTTAATTCCCTCTTCTGTAAACTAGGAGTAATAGTACTAGTTGTTATCTTGTGATGATATTATAAGGATTAGATGAAATGACACATCTAGTTCACTGTCTGACATGTAATGGGAGGTTAAAATTGTTTGCCGTTATTCTTGCCACTAAATTTGGACGAAAGAAGCTTGCTTTGTATTAGTGTTGAAAGAATACTAACCATGGGATTGCATCAGAATAATTTTTATTGATTGCTAAGTAGGTAATTCAGACAAAATAAAAGGAATGGACAGTTCCGTGAGAAGGTTCCAAGTTTCTGTTGACAGTGGATGTTAACTAAATTCTACTTTTATATCTGAGCTAAGCAGAGTCTGGTGTTCTATTTACTTTCCCTTTCTTTGCCACAGATTTATTACCCTTAACAGTCTGCATTCAATCTTCTCTAATCAGTTTATCAAGGAAATAGAGACGCATTTCTTCTCCCTGATGATGGGATTAGAGATCTACAGAGCAGACTATGTGAAGTGATCTTATTTGTGACCACCATGGCAGTAGACATATCAATAAACCAACATGATCCCATGGCTTGAGCTATCTGGTGTTCAGAAGGAACGTGGATGTCATA